CTGTTCTTAAAATCAGAAATCTGGGAGAAATTTAAGGCAGAGCCATCAACCTGTATAACAGGGCTAAGTGGAGGCCCAGTGTGTTTCATATTACTATATCATATTATTCCATATACAACCTACTTACTGAATTTCAAAACACAAACAAATGTTAGTGGTGTTGCGATTTATTGAAATAATCAATGATTGGTCACAGTGACAAAACAACCATTTCTCAGAATAATGAAACACAAATGATTTTGGAAAACTTTTTTAGCATTAAAACTATTTTTCATAATGTTTTTTTTAGCTGTGCGGTTAAATTTACATTTCATAAGCACTAGTAGCTTGTTGGTTGGTGAAACCAGTGTCAAGACAGCGTAAGTTTCAAATTCTATAGTACATGTACATATTTTCCGGAAAACATATGCTCGCATTTGTCAAACTTCAAGTTTCTGCATATTGGTCAAGATTACTAACTTATGTGGCAAAACATGTGGAATAGTCAGTTTACATAGAGGTTTTATAAAGTTACGTGTCTATATTACTTATTTGCATTTTCAGAACATTATTAGAGTATAGCAAGGTTTAGTTTTGTTTCTCATGTTAGTTCCTGTATGAGAATGACCAAAGAAAATGGCAGATACCATACACAGTAATCCCGGGCCAAAACCTTCACTCACAGGTTTAGGAACATTTTGGATTCTGCGCCACACAACAAACTGACAAGACAAAACAAAACTGTCCAATGCGATTTAGATATTTTAGATATGAATCATGCCATCTGTAAATTCTGTTGGATGTCATACGCTTATAAAGGTAAGTGTTCGCGGATTTTGTAAACATGTTTAGTCTCAAGCTCAAATTCCTTACTCTTGAGGTTCAACTAATTTTATTAAATATAATGTTCATGCAAATAACTAAAAAATATAACACGATGCATAGGGTTGGGCGATAATACCGGTTAACCGGTATATCGCAATTCGAACTTTGCAATACGATATATTGCGGTACACTTTTCGCGAACCGGTTCACCCGATACGATCAGCAATTTCCGTGACCATGATCGGTAAGGTTCGTGATGTACCGGTAGTTTAAAATACTAATAAGATTTGTATTTCCTTTATATCATTATACATTAATAGTTTTGAGAATGTATATTGGTCAATCACAACTGTGTCCTGACAGTGGCCAGTGGCATTGTTTCAAATGAAAGGAAGACAGTAATTTCATCACCGTAGTTAACCCATTCAACACCACAGACTGGAAAACAGGCCAAGACGTCACAAGTCCCCAGACAGTAGGCGCATCAAAATGGTATATAATTTTAGGAACCTACCTAACATATGATTCACTTATTAAATCTATCACTTGTCGGAAAATACTTATTGCATTTCAAATGAACATATATTATTGACAGAATTAGAATTATAAACTATTTTTCGCAATGTTATTGAAAACAAAAAACTATTCGGCAACGGGTCCACATCAAAGTTGTCAAAGAGCAATGTAGCGATGTTTCGAAGAAATAATGAAACAAACTGAATAAACTAAACAATAAAATCAAGAACAGTACTCATAAAAGTTGTCAAACGTACATCATAAGTTACTATTTTCCATCTTTTTGAGCGCGATCATGAAATGTATGCCAAATAACATTTTGGCTTTCGTCGCCTCGAACTTCATGCTTGCACACGATGTTTAATGCTAAAATATATGCTTGAAGCATTTTTGTCACAGGTCATAACCAAGCACGATCCGACAACTAAGTTCCATAAGGTGGTGATTTTGTGCGTAACCCCTTCAGAATAGGATGATTTTACCAAAAAAATTCGTCTAAATCTTTAAAGTTTTCATTTACAAGGACGGTATCCATTGCTGTAATAATATTGGTTGCCTTAGCTCACTTTCATGATTTTGACCAATCACAAGCCTTATAGCAGACATTCGTAACTACTCGTATCGTTCCGGCAAGCAAGATTGCAACTCGTACCTGGTACGACTAGTCTAGGAATAAGAAAAGCAAGATTTATGGATGTCAACTTCTTTATTGTGGACAACACGTCGTGTCATCTTGCTTTTCTTATGCATTCCACTTCTAAATGCCCTTCCAAGATTTAGTCTAGGAATATTTCCAAAGAAAGATAACTCTGAATTTCCAAACATGGCTACTCCTTGAAAGGCATGTTAAATAAGTTTCTTATGTCATTAACAAATATCAGTAAAAAGATAATTTTATAATCCCGGAACTAATAATGAAAATCGATAATCACAAAGAAACTATTTGACTCCATTCCTAACTACTCGCCTCTTTCAGTGACCTACGCTATTCGGCTTGTCCGGAATAACACGAATTGGTCATGAATGTATTTGACTCATTTCACATTTTACTACACGCGATTTTATTGGATTGCCACGATTTTTAGCAATAATGGCGTACTATACAGGTACGAGTCTTCTTGTAGGTCACGGAAAGAGGCGAGTAGTTACGAATGTTATAGCAGATTGTGGCGAAAAAGCGTCATTAGAAACCAATGTTTAACCAATAAAATCGCTTCTTACAACTGCGAAAACACTCCTGTTACTCCGTGTTATTTATAAAAACCTTCGGAAAACGGAGGTATTTCCCGCTGTTGTGTCATGTTACCGAGCGGAAAGCCAGTTATCGGGAAAAAGCCGTCCATACATATTATTTCAGATACCTTTGTATAATAATTTTCGTAAAAATGAAAATATAGAATAAAAAGGTAAGGGGATATTATGACATATTACAAATGGAAAAAAATCGCTGCATGTTTTGCTTCCTTCGTGGTTTATCTAGACATTATAAAGTGTACACTTACATTTTCATTAAAACTTAACTTATTTTAATTGTTATTGTATTATTTGAATACTATGATAAAAAATAACTTTCATATTTATAAATATGTTAGGATTACTGGTAAACCTTTCAAATGGTGCATGACGTGTAGCAGTAATAATGTTTTACAAGCTGATATTTTCCTTGATAAACATAGGCCTCATCTATGACCTCAGAGTCTCTGGGAACTCAGTGTCATGGCAGTAAAAGCCTCTGGTTGACTGGTGTTGAAAGCACTAAACCATGTGTCACACTTTCACAATATATTGCAATACGTATTGCAATACGGCAACACATATCGCAATATATCGCAATACAAAAATCTTGGCGATACCCAACCCTAACAATGCAGCTTGCAAGTAGCATGACGTATGATCCTTAAACTGAAAATCTTTTAATCTTCAGATAGGTAAGATGACTTTATTGTATCATGTGACATATATGACACTAAAATGAGTTCCAAAGAATAGAAAATGCTCAGGTATATATCTATGAAAATGGTTAATACTGTAAAATGGATTTGGAAATTTAAATCAGTAATAAAGTTGGAGGGACTACTATTTTAGTATTTCAAACACTAGATAATAGGAATAACTGCATAATGTTTCACTAAGAAACCAGAACTGTAACTGACCTATCCTATTTAAAAAAATGATTTATATACCAAGCTGAAGTGAACTGAGATGCTATCAAACATGTTGAAGTCATTTAAGAGTTGAGTGAGTAAGGTTTTACACCCTTTTAGCAATATCATGGCAGTGAGTGAGTGAGTTTTACTCCGCACTCAGCAATATTCCAGCTATATGGTGGTGATCTGTAAATAATCGAGTCTGAGGAGACAATCCAGGGATCAACAGCATGAGCATCAATCTACGCAACTGGGAACTGATGACATGTGCCAACCAAGTCAGCGAGCCTGACCACCCGATCCCGTTAGTCGCTTCTGACAACAAGCATGCGTTACTGAAGATCAATATTCTAACCTGGACCCTCACAGGTTTATCACGGCAGTGGACACCAGAAATGGGCTTCACACATTGTACCCACGTGGGGAATTGAACCCGGATCTACAGCGTGACGAGCGGATGCTTAACTATTAGGGTACCCCACCGCCCCTTAAGAGTTGTAGTTGGCTTAGTACCCTACACATTCAGGCTTCTATTTTTTCAGTTTTTGTTACAGTGGTTTGTTACAGTGATGATGCAAAAGCAGAGTTGGGGCATGGTGGGCGAGCTTGCTAAGGTGCCAGGCTAGTGATCCATCGAGCATGAGGTGCCGGGATCGAGCCCATCTGTGACCAGGTGTAAAAACCTTGGAGTCAACTTTGTGTACAGATTCTTGCCATGTTGCCACAACCCCTAGTGTACAGTACAGAACCCTGTGCACTTAAAAGAACCCACTAATCCGTTGGTAAATAACCAGACGGTGGCCACATGAATACGTGTAATCACCTATTGCGGGTACAGAAACGTGCAGTAAACTTGGACAAAGTACTGTGACTATGTGTCCCAGTCCACCCAGCTGTGAATGGGTACCTCGTAAGGATGAGAATGCTGCAATAACTCGGTGCGCCTAGTGGCTGCAAGAGTTGTATGATCCCCAGGGAGTTGAGATTGAAAATACGATGTGCCGTTGAGATTGACATCCAATGACTGTGGGAAAAATTACCAGCGCCTTGAGAATGTACTAGTTGAGTGGGTATGTGTACTATATAAATATAAAATAATAATAATAATAATACTTGTTCCATCAAAGAGGGTTGCTGTTTAAATACAAGTGCTTGGTGAAGTGCTAAGTTTCAGTGTTTAATCAGACAAATCATGTTGATCATTACTGAAACTGTCCATATCTCAAAAGGTGTCAGCCTGTTCTGTGAGAACTCACTTCACTTATTGACAAGTTGTGACTGAATTATTAGTCATCCATTTAAGGTCGCAAGATGCATCACTTTAAGTTGACTGAAAAATTTGCAAAAGCATTTTGTGCAGTTTGCAAATACAAACAATGAAACAGAGATCTACATGTTATTTTAACCTGAACCTGAACAACCTGAACAGGAAAGTTTGAAAAATGATGCAAACCAATCAATGAACCAATCTTCAATTACGCAATTTCAACTGATTCCCAACACTAATACATAGCTGACACTAGAATTCCTTACCTTTCTTGTTCTTTGTCAGGTGCTGAGTTACACAAGAGTCTTGTGGTGCCTGTCATGTCCATAAAGTCATCTTCATCTTCCTCCTCCTCATCATCATCATCACCATCATCATCATCTATCAGCTTATCCAGTTCAGCATCAATATCTTCCTCATCCTCGTCATTCATTCTTCTCAGTTTGGGAGGTAATGGTGGTGGAGAATCATAGACACCCCTCTTAGGTGACAGACTGGTAGTGCGCGCTCTGGGGGTGGGGGAGGACTGTCCTCATGGTCATTGTGGTTCTGAAAGAACAGATAATCCCAAAGTACAGGGTAAAACCAGATGAATCCAAAGTACAAAATAAAACGAGATAAACAAAGAAGCCTCAAAGGTGATTGGCACAACCTCATATGATTTGTCCTCAGATCTCCAGGGAAAGGTATTTTTTTGGAGTAAAAGATTGACAAAATCATACAGCAAGAAATTTCTTTAATACCAGTAGGTTTAAGCTGCGTTTTGTTTGTGTTTTTTAGCTTTGATGTAGTTTGTGACTGGTGACATTTATGCTTGCAGAACAGAGATTGAAATACCGAAAATTGCCCATGTCGTGAGTCTCTGACATTGGAGTTGGCATCTGACATGTTGAGTAGATGCTTCCCTCCTTCTATAATAGCCAGATAGGAGAAGCGAAGCTGATCTGGTGTCTGTATCAGTCCCATGCGGTATGACCGCATTTCAATCAGCATCCCCCCTAACATCTACACAATCCAGGTCTTGATTCTTCTCGATCTGAAGGAATGAACATTGTGTATCAGTTCATTGGTGCTTTCAAACAAAACAAAAACACTGTAAAGAAGACAGGATGAAAAATTATATAACCAAAACATGAAGCTCACCTTAAAAAGATTACATGAAACTTTTGAGGATCTGTAGACTGCGTAATCTTAGGTTACAATAACTAATGCTATTCAGGTGTTTCCTTTTCATGCAATGATGCTATCTGCACCTTCCCAACAAATCATTTCTTGAAAAGACGTATATACATGTACTATACAGAACATTCTTTATGAATGAAAAGATTTATGAGTCCAATAATTGTATAAGTTATCTGTCTGTCTTTTACATTGGTCAGCAGCACACCAGTCATATTACAGCATGTGTATAAATCATAAATGAGAACAGGCCAGCCAAGCCAGGAGTTGATATTACTTAATGTTCCAGCAATCTTAACATTTATGGTTGGAGAAAAAACAAGTTCGAAGAATGAGTTGCTTCTCTTGTAACATGACATCTTCGAGTCCAAAAGCACTAGGGACAAGGGACGTATCACACTTGTATACATGAGATCAACTCATCCGCCTGACATCATCACTGCCAGGTACTGATCACCAAGGCAACAAAACAGAATCATATTTGACATAAAACAACCTCTAATTAGAATACCCATAACCTAAATAATGTCTAAAATTAGCTCTTTATGGAAGGATCTGAATACTGCTGAACATATAAAAAAGATCCAGTAGTCAAGAAATCTGGAAATTGGCAGTGCAGTCCAGAATTCGCCTAAAATCATTGTATTGCATTGCTCTATTGCCATCAAAGTACTAAATGTGTATGGAATAAGATGGTATACAGCACTGCATTATAGTGAGTGAGTGAGTCCAGGTTAATGCTGCTTTTAACAATATTCCAGCTATATCACGGCGGTGGACACCAGAAATGGGCTTCACACATTGTACCCATGTGGGGAATCGAACCCGGGTCTTCGGCGTGACGAGCGAGCGCTTTAACCACTAGGCTACCCCACCGCCCCCACTGCATTATAATTGAACAGACAGGCCTGAGGTATTTCACAATGAGAATATGAAGTGCCAAGATGATGGTTTCTAAAGTAATGTAAAAGGTGAAATAAGTATCTTTCATTTTGCAGTGGCTTTTCTTTTAACTTCAATACAATAACAATTTAAAGCATAGATAAATCATGAAATCCAAATTGAAACAAAATAGTAAAATAAAAATATTTTTATATTTGCATCCTTATCCTGCATTACTCCTTAATGCATTTACTGCTTGTATTTTGACAGAAAGAACAAAGCTGTGAGAGGTCAAACTGAAAAAGAAGCTGTTCCAACCAGTTGTGAGGCAGACCTCCAATGTGACTGAAGTGTGAGGAAGCAAATCTGTTACAGCTGGGCCCTTAGACACAGTAATGCAGGATACAAATTATAATAACTATTGAGGTTTTACTAAAGTTATCCTGCATTACACATTAATGCATATGAATCAGACAGTATGGCAGTGGGTATACTCTATGACTGAAAACCGTGTCCAAACAGGTGTCAATATAAATCTCAATCCTGTCCAAAGCAAAAGTGAAAATGTCCCAGAAAAAGACAGCAACAGAACAATAGCTAGGCCATATAGTCTGAGTACACTTTCAGTGTCTTCCAACGCTACATTTCGCAGGTAGTGACTGGGAAATCCAGAAAATTCTAGGAATGACAGCTGAACAGTCTAAGTAAACTTAGGCTCAGTATTATTCGTTACACTGCCATACTGAGTCTAACAAAACCTTGTGGAAGGTCGCGTCAGGTAACCTTTGGCGACCTATGACCGTCCAATCAAAGGTGAGACGGCCGAACGGATTTAACCAATCAGACAATGGCTACTATTTAGGCTTCGGCGGGACTTACAAAATGGATTTTCTCGTCCCCAGTCGCCAACACTGATCGTACGGAAAATAGCATTCGGAATCGTTTGGGTACAAACTTTTTCAAAGGTAAAAGTTCAAAAGGTATGTGCAAATGTCCACTTTCGTGATTTGGTAAGCTGTGTTCTGATTGGTCAATTGGAAAGGTTACCTGACGCGACCTACCACAAGGTTTTGTTAGACTCAGTATAGCAGTGTAACGAATAATACTGAGCCTAAGTTTACTTAGACTGGGCAGCTTAAAAATCCTGACAGCAGACACAGAAATATTTCTTCATCTTAGCATCTATGATCTGCCCCTACCAAAGCTTAGAAGATGTGAGGTTATAAAAATATAAGCATCAAAAGAGCTCCTTGGGTTTCAGAGGCATGGCATTTTCTTTGCGGCTTTGTCAAATGAACCCTGCTGCTTTCAGCTTTTAATAGGGCAATTCATTGCCATACCAATGAGTACCACAAACCAATTTCTCGCTGAATATCAGAGCACAACCAAAGTCAGAGCTAACTCTTTATGGTTTTGATCTTCTGTAATATCTGGGAAACAGTACAGGAGGTGGAAAAACATACACTCATAGCCTTTCCCAATGTATGCGGAGATAACACAACGTTCAGACAGTTCATTAACAAAAAGAACCAAAATGTTCATTGAAGTAGGGATGTGAAATGAGTGTTTCCCTGATACTGCGATCTGTGGAAATGGCTAGTGGAGCATCCTTCAGACTTCCCTGCCATTGCATGATTGCCTGAATCAGAGCCTCTAATACTAAACTGTTGATGTGACAACTGTAGTGTTCATCAAAACATAGAGCCATGAGGCAGTCATGTCTTCCAGATGAGTGTCCCTTACACGGATTTAGCTCTGTCAAAGAGATTCCTCCAGAGATGTTCAGTCCCCATGTCCACCACAAGAGATGTGATCTAGGATGGGATGGCAGAGCAAAGGAGAAATCTGGGTCCTGACACCAGATAAAAGGAGTCAGAAACTGTTGCATCAGGTGTAGCTGAAGACCTGCCATTTTAGATCTTTAGGCAACAATGAAAAGCCAGCAGTAAATGACACTGGTCTTTTTAACCATTGATCCACTGGTGGAGAAAGAATACAAATTGGGCTGGTGAAAAACCACAGGGGGTCAAAGAAATTACGTGCCCCAAGGACATGATCAAGCCCTTTAATATAAATCTGGACTGGGGATCACCGCTTCCAGCCTGTCAGTCATTCAGTTTTGCAACCTTGGATAAGCTGAGTTGTGTGCTTTTCCGGGGAAGTTTCATATATTGGTCTGAAGGATCTCTCAGATGAGTCAGAATAATAATCCTGTGTATAGTCTGTTTTTGCTCAAAAGCGGACCGATGAATTGCAATATAACTTGAAAACTAATAAACATATAAAACTCAATCAAACGCTGATCATCATCAAAAACATCACACCAACTCTGTGATTTTTTTGCAGAATTTCTGGAAGAGCACTTCAATTTATGACAAATTGATGAAGTTGATATAGTGGTTCATTAGAATTTAGATTAGGCAAGTGTTGAGGGGAAAATCGCCCTACTCGGAGAAGGTGGAACACACTGAAGGTGCCTATGGCGCAACAGATTTTGAAGGCACTTGTAAAACATCTCAGGTTGGCCCAGAGGCACATACCTAACATCTGGCATACGTGCTTGCATGACAGCTGGCACCTGAGTCACTAGAGACACTGTAGTACTCACTGCTGCAGAGTGAAGCCTGTCAGGACCGAGAGCACTGCCTGCAGTAGACGCAGATTTGCAGGCGTATTTGCAGGCTTATTTCCAGGCATATGCCTTGAGGCAGAGTCATTAGAGGCCCAGTGATGCCAGGTTAGATAGCCAAGGATATGCATTATTTTCTGACCTCCTTGTAGGCATTGGAGGTTTAGATGGGCATAACGCCATCTTCTTACACTACCTGGACTGGAACTAGATAATTTCTTCTGACAGACCCACTGATATTTGTTAAAGCTAGGCAGAGACAGAGACACACACACACAAATATTGTACTTGGAATTTAGCAGACTGACTTGCAAATAATCGAGGTAATGAGGATGAGGATCTTTAGAAGATCTCTAGGAGTGTTGTTACCTCAACACTTTTGACAATGGAATAGCTAAACAAACCCAAATATGAGGAAATGGAGTGTTGCCGAAAGTGATTTTTAATTTTTATGTGCCAAATGATGCCTACATACAGGTGAACAAATACCTGCTTAACTATAAAAACGTGAATGAATTGTAATAAACACAAATAACAAGCCATGACAAGGATAATTAACGTGAAACTTGATTAACAAAAAACACACCAAAATCCAAGATGGTGAACAATAAACACACGAGAGTCTAAGACTGACCAAAGTCACCATCCCCAGCAAAACAATGAATGCTGTTGTATAAATACATGATAAAACATTAAACAGAAGCCAGTTCTTTGAAGAAAAACATATATAGGAACAAAAAGAAAAAGAGGCAATGGTTTGAAAAATTGCAGGAGCACTTTATTACAACTGCTTGGAGAAATATTTGGTTTAGCTGGACCTCTCACAGCTGTGTTCTTTCTGTCAAAATACTAGCAGTAAATGTATTAGGAGTAATGAAAGATCAGTAATGAAACATTCATCAAACTTGAAATCCTTTCTGTATATAAAATGACAACCGCCCCTGAAATATACAGTGCATCCACTGGGATACAGAAAATTTGTATGCTTGTTCTGAAATGCAAGCTGCTGTTGCTTTTATTTCAGATAAGAAACTCCATAATCTATATTGCATTAAGAGCTCTTGTGATATGGTTTGTCACTTATGATAGAGCACTGTATTCAATTTTATAAATTTCATGGCAACCCAATAATCTTCCTAACAAACCGATAAATGTCATGTTAATTCAACAATCCTGTAAACACCATGATGGTGGGAAATGTCAGAAAAACAACTAACCAGTACAAGGCATGAATCAACCAGACAGAAGGTTCCTGATCTCCCTATTCCAGCACTACAGTGTATCACTGCAGGCCCCACTTCAGTGTTGAGGGCTCCAGCTTCTCGCACTGCAAACAGGAAACTGAGGAAGGAAGTTGGGGATGCAGGGACACAGAAGTCAGGCCATGTTGTGTAGTGAAAGTGTAACACCTCTCGTCTTTCCCCTGACTAAAACACAAACCAAACACAACAAATATCAATCAAGATTACTTGTAAATTGCTTCATATAACAAGAGAGAGAGAGAGAGAGTGCTATTACATTACCACTGAACAGTAATGTCTGAGCTGTAAACAAATATGCATGTTTAGTTGCATCCATGCCTTTATGCAACACCTACACATCAGGCGACATTTTATTTTACTTGCTTCATGGAACTTTGTCAGTAGGACAGACAAAAATTCAAATTGTTTTCAGTTTCTCATTTAACTAAGACTGGTTGGCTGGTTGGTTAACGTGGGAATACAACTGTTGAGCAAAACAAACCTGACAAATCAAGCAGGAACACTATTTAGACTTAGAGATACTGTCTGCATTGCCAGTACAATCAGTTATGGTCACAAATACTTGTTTGTCTCCAAATACCTGACTACCTGAGCCAGTGATACACTGATAGCAACAAATCTCTCGTAAGCCTTGCTAACGAAAATAACTTGAATTCATACAGAAATTTTGGAGGGCACTGATAAAAAACTACCCACTGAGGTGACTCTGTTGGTGTTTCTTTGAAAATTATGACTCTAGTTTGAAAAACATGGTCAAAGGGAACTGGAAGAACCACTTTCCCCTTGTATAATAATGTACAGAATAGTTCAGCATTTGACTGACAGATGTCTGGGCTAGGAGAGTTTCAGTAATGTTTATATCAGGTGGCTAGTTTAAATAATCCTTGCAAACACACATAGCTTCTTTACGTTTTCACACAAAAATCTTGTTTGTATCTTAAAACTGATGCATAATTATGAATAGGTGGTCCTTGTTTAGCATGTTTAGTAATTACAGTAAATACCTTTATAACGAACTCTAAGGGAACACTGAAATCAGTTCGTTATATCCGTAGTTTGCTATTCACTTTTTTATATGATAATATAAGGTTTATTCAGGACTTTTAAAACAGTTTGCTATAGCCGTCAGTTCATTATATCCGTGTTCGTTATAAAAGCATTCTACTGTATTTGACAACTTTTGCCTTGTTAAAATTTTAGCAAAGCAAGTAAAAACATGTTGCCTAATTGAGACATTTTGACAATCTGACCTGCATATCTTCTAGGTAGAAGGACCGAACAGTGTAGTGAGCTCCTTCCTGTTCTCCATTTAGAATCACCTTCAGTTCTACTTCATCAAATACCATCTCATCTTCATAGCCCTGGTGAGATCCAAGGGGCCAGTATTGGTGGCACTTGAGCTAGAAGAGAGATAACTTGTTGTTGACATCCTAAAGCTAGTATATTAGTACCATATTACCTATAACCTTCAGCAGATGACATAGAATAGGTAGAGATGTGTGTTCAACACTAGCTTTTTCACATAGATCAGCTGTATGACTTTTATGGTTACTTATTATGTTGCTTGCTGTTTTGAATGTAGTTAATTTTGGCTGTCTCTTATCAGCATGATCAGTGTGCAGGAATCCTGACTACCCCTTAAACGTTCTAAATACAAAGTTTGTTCAATAACATAGGCCAGGTATAGTTGATTACAAAAAAAACACTGCTATTTTAGATTAGGCTTTGGTGACCATGTTGTCAAATATATAAAACATGGTTCATAAGCCGTTGAACATGTTCAAAGACAACTGTTTACTGTGTGATTGCAAACACAGATTTAGAGAAGATCTACCAAATATAACACCCAGATGATAGTGGCAGTCACAGATAAATGTGGTAATCCATGAAAAAAGGCCAAAACATTTAGCTCAGTAGTTTCCATCAACTTACAACTCAAAGTTGTCTGATGACTTGAAGGGAAATGTCAATCGCCTTGGTGCATCAACATCCCACAGAACTTGCATAATGAATGGACAGAAGTTGAAAAAATATTGGTTAGATAAAGGTGTGGAAGATAAAGTGATTTTGTTTAAATGTGAGGAATTGTGGTTGTTTAATTTGGTAATGCTTTTGTGTTAGAGAATATATTAAGGAACGAGATATGAGTTGAAGCTAATGATTTGAAAAAATGCCAATGGACTCAATGATAATATGTTGCAGTATGTACTTAAACTTTGTTGAACTCACATATGGAAGGAAAAGTGAAAGTGTGTAGCATTGCTACATTGCAGACAAAACATTATTTTATACCCCTTAAAGATATGAATTTCCCAAGTGATGTGTCCCTAAAATCAGCTATTTCAATCAGAGGTTTATCATGTTTATATTGTGAATAGCAATCATAATTACAGTCATGGTTATCAGATAAACATGTGTTTGTTAGGTGAACCACAAACACTATCAGGATACATCCAATCACATACTGCATCCACCAGTGGTGTTGACAAAATGATCCCAAACTAATTTGCATCTCATGGCATATATGATGGTAATCCAGTGTTCACGAATGGTTTTTCAAAGTAACAGGACATTGGGTCCTGTAAGTTTCAGATGTCTGTCTGACCCACTGAAAATTCACAGGACCCATAGAAGAAAGTTAACATTAAACACACATTTCAGATTTAACATTTCTTATATCATAATTGGCGTCGAAATTACTAACAAATGTAAAATTTATAGACAGCGAACAAGTGTGACAAATATAACAACTTCAGTCAAAGTCATTGTGAAATATACAGTCGGACACTGTTGCCAACGGGTTGTAGACTTCCATCAGACAGTCGGTGAATCTGCCAGATTTGTCCGAGGGTCAGACGCTATTCATGAACACTGGTAATCACGGTGAAACTACTCTGTCAGAATATTCATTTGGATAAATAACCACATCTGAAGTATTTAAAGACAAAAACATACCAAAATAAGTTCACTATTCTTACTTTGACATATTCTTCATATTTCACGAATGCAGTCTTCTTCATCTAGTTCTAAACATGTCAAATATTAAATTCGCAGTCAAAACAGATACACATTGAAGCTAGCCCGCTAGCTGTTCTCAGTTTGTCAAATGTTGATGGCTTAACAAGGACAGGTAGAAATGTCCAGGTCTTGTTGGTGTCTGAAATTGTTATAACAATTCAGGAAAGTAAATGTTTAGGCTAAAAGTTGCAATAAGATATAATCTTCATGTGCAAAGTGAACATTTTTTCACATTACTCATTCTGACTTGTCTAAGACGCAAGATTATAGATAATGATTAATGCACATCAATTCTCTGATAGATAAAATACATGATACTTACAGTCCCTTTCTCGATGATTCTGTTGAGCATGACAATAGCTTTACTCTTCTGTTCCCATATCATCTGCCAGAACTGTGGAGTTGTGTGATCCAAGGGGCCCTGTATTTGACAGATCAGTTTATTAGTGATATATAGGATATTATGAATCAGAAAAGATAAATAGAAAAGAACATTTTCTTAAAAGAGATTAAAAAAGGCTTTAATCAATGCTCTGAAGTATTTGTTCTGAAGAAGGTCCCATTTAATATGTTGAAACAATATGTAATCTAACTACCCATATAATTATTCATATGATGACTAGAAATAGCTACACTTGCCAAATATGAAACATGAGTGTAAATGATTTAATGCCAAAATGCAGACGTTTTAAGTTCAAATGGTTACATTGTGTCACCTTGCTCTTGACATTATATAGTGTATACAGTTACTGCAGGTCACCAGATACGATACCATACGATTATGGGAGTATAAGTTAATGTGACTTCCTGAAATAGTAGCTCATGTTGCCCTGAAACAGGAACTGGAGCTGTTTCTACTTGAGACGTGGAAGATTTGACTGTAGGCGGAAGATCTATGGCCGTTGTGTTTACCAGCTTAATACACATAAGTAACATTATTTGAAAGGACTTGAAGAATGTTATGAAGCTTTGATATTTTGTGGACATTACAAACACCCACTATACATAAATTATTTTTTACTAATTGTTTCTCCAAAAATGAAATTAAAGATTAATCACTTCTCAACTTATCATTTGAAATAATAAGCATGCCATTTAAATTCACACACGTTTTCACCGATGTTACAGTAAACTAGCGGTCCATGGATAATGAGGCTGCAATCAGTTCATGATTGTTGATAATATGTCATATTGGTGCTATCGTGGTTGGAGAGAAAAACGTACCCTCATGAACATGGTAAGCGGAAGTTGTACGCACATGGAATGGGGTAAAATAAGCAAGCCAGTTTGTTGACATGTGATCGTCCAGCTACAATAAGTATGATATTTAGCGAAACAAAATATATTATCCATTTTCTGTCAACTACACTTCATTTCGAGGTGCGAGTAGACACAATATGATTGTGAATTCTTTGAATAATGCGGACCGAAGTTGTAATTATCGGTAACTGCCAGTTGTCTGTGGTCTGAGTTTGCCGCAATTAGGACCCTATCACTGGGGGTTGGCTTATGTACGAAACATACCATTTTGACACTGATTCTAAGGGTCAAGTTAGGGGGTCGGATTAGCTATGGTAATATACGGTACATTTTCATAGTGGTTGGGTTTTTTCCACACATCTCTGCAACTTGTAAAACTGTGCTTAAGGAAACACACTGTGATGCTGACATCTGAAGCAGAGACTAGCTTTCTTCCACTCCCTTTGTCACATCTATGGCAACCTCTTAATCTAACCTGAGTAAGTATGTATTTCCTTCTGGCCTCTGTCACTTGAATGTAGTTAGCATTGATGTAGTCTGTGTCACCCTGGCTCAGCACAACTCGACTGTGGTCATCTGAATCACAATGGAAATAGTATATAGTGAGAAATATAGTCATAGTTAGCTGGTTACCACTCATAACCTACATAAATAGATCAATATTTTGGAAATTGCATCACATTTGTCAGTGTATGAAATAAGCCAAAAACCCAGCATGACATCTGGGCTGGTAACTTCAAAAACTTACCAGCCCAGAAGAGAATTAACCAGTCCTTCTTAAATACTAAATAGACAGTGCCAGTGGACTGCATTTGTTTGAGGACTAATGAAGTCAAGCAGCAGAAATGACTACAGTAAATACCTTTATAACGAACTCCGGGGGACCACTGAAATTAGTTCGTTATATCCGTAGTTCGCTATTCATTTTTTTATATGATAATATAAGGTTTATTCGGGACTTTTAAAACAGTTCGCTATAGCCGTCAGTTCGTTATATCCGTGTTCATTATAAAAGTATTCTACTGTATTTGAAAAATAAGGGGATAAAGATCAAAAAGGGTGACATTTCAACAAAGGTAGTATTTTTATACTTTATATTTTGATGGTTATTTTACAACTATGATAACTAAAATTGACATTGTAAATTCCCTGTAAATCACTACAGGAATTAGGGGCACTTATAAATTGCAGCAAAACAAATTCGAAATTTCCTTATGGTACTTCCCTCCGGTAATAGCAGAAGGCATCAGGTAAACTACTATTTAGCCAACATCATTGTTTAACCTTAATCTACAGAACTGAAGGTCCAGCCAACCCTCAAAAATTAATTTCAAGCATTGTTAAACATGCTAAAGGAAATATTAGGGTCTGTAAAGTAATCAAATGGTGGTGTGCAGAAAATTAGAAAGAAGAAAATTACTTAAATTACAACACCTTTGTCATTTTCTCGCCAAGAACAGGGTACAATCTTATTGGGAAGCAAAGTGTTTTTTCTGCATCTATTTGTGCATACTGGATGCAAATTTCTGCAAAGTATTTTCAATAAGACCACACAAACCATGAGTGACACTTTGTATATTGCCAGGATTACAAAGAATATGACTGACTCACATGGGCTGACATCTCTGTATCTGTTTTTATGTTTGTTTTCTGGCTTCCTTGCTTCTGTCACTCCAAATTTGTTGTCAAGTGTCTTTAAAGATGCTTCGTTTTTCACTCTCTGGGAAAAAACAAACATACACTACTAGTAATCCATGTTTGAAATAATATACTTACAAAGTTCAAAGGCTCAATAATTTGTTCTTGAAGTTTTTTATCAGTAAGCATGTTATGGTTATGTTGAAAAGATGATAAAAATATACAGAATAACATAAGTTCCTTCATAAAACATACTCATCATGTGCCTTGCACGGTAACTGAAAGACAAGTCACCATGTCCAATAATACAGTAATCTGCAGTTTAGAATGTTAGGAGAAGAGCAATAGCCATGGTCATCCAGTAATACCAGGGTAGTAATCAAGTTATAGCAATAGTGCGTTTAATAGGACTACAACAAATACACTATGAGGCAAATACAATACGTTTTACGAATGAATATGTAATTTTTAGAGTAAAATTGATATTTTATACTTATCCTGACTCATGCTCTTTTGCTTGTTTTCTTCTTCTTGAGAACATAGTGTAACACTTGTATCTCCTTAATTGAAGCTCCCTTCAATGTAAAATCACTAATTAGTACTCACCAAGAGTTGCCTCCCTTTGCCCCCTGCGCGTGAAAGGCGGCGCCACCTTCTGGCTTCATGCTTCACTCTCTCCTGATATAGCGAGCCCAACACTTGAATTTACAGGGAAATCCAAAGTGTTATGTGGGGAGGATGGGAGGGCTTACCTCATGAGTCAGGATAAGTATAAAATATCAATTTTACTCTAAAAATTACATATTTTTCCTTATCCTGACTTATGCTCTTTTGCTTGTAGAATCCTACGGAAACGGAGGTGGGAAAGAACAGAATACTTTGGATTTATAAAATTAATTAGTGATTTATATATATATAACTGTAATAACCCCCTAACGGGAACTTCATAATGGCACTGACTTAGGATAATTCCTCTACTATAAACCATAAGTTTATACATTGCCATAGATGGGGTATTACAATAATAATATACTATGATAATAGCAATAAAGATATAAAAGCGACTCCGACAAGGAGAAGCTATACAACTGAACATAATCATCAGTACAAGCTTAAGGCTGAGTAGACCTAAGCTAAGTATATAAATAGCCCTAAAACTCCGTAGAGTTATAAGCTAGATAATACTGGTATGAATATATACATAATAATCTCGTTAAGACTATGTGTTAACGATCTCACGAGGGACTGTCAACTGCTGTGCGAGGACCAAGGGACCGAAATGGTGAATACCTGAGACGCCCTCGGTGGTGATATCTCTCAGATAGTGATTAGCAAACACCATGTTAGATTTCCAAAAGCATCCTTCCATGATTGTATTTAATGAACAGTTACCGTGTAGAGCGAGTGTGGAAGGCAATGCCCTGATCTCATGGGGATTTGATGCTGTTGGAGGGTCGAGTCCTGCCGCCTTGTAGGTGCGAAGTATAACAGTTCTTATCCATATAGATATGGTGGTACGAGAGACTTCTGTCTGAGTTGTTGCCGATAAGGGGATGAATAATCGTTTGAGAAATCTTCGCCTTGTTTTGGAACGTCGTAAAAAGATTTTGATAGCTCTGACTGGGCATAGAGATAAGTCCAGTGTATCTTGAGATCCGAGAATCGAGGAGAGTGCAGGAATATGGAATAATCTGTCTGGTTGACCTGGCAATTGATTTTTGGCGATGAAATCCCATCTTAATCCCAGGTGCGCTGTGTTTTGATTGTCATTAAACTGTATCCTCTCATAATCTAGTGCGTGAATTTCTGACATCCTGGCTGCCGTGGCTAGAGATAACAGGAAAAGCGTTTTCTGTGAGAGAAATTCAAAGGTTGTCGATTCCAACGGTTCATAAGCCTCACTTGTGAGGTGTTGGAGCACTATATTCAGATCCCAAGCTGGGGCGTGGAACTTCCGCTTCTGATCCTCCAATCGGAAAGCACGTAGTAAGGCCAGTAACTCTGGCGTCTTGGTTAGCTTGACACCCGTTCTCATAGTTATCACAGAACTAAGCGCGGCAAGATATGTTGACAATGTCGAGCCTTTTAAATGTTTGTTTTGGCGTAGGTAACACAAATAATCTGCCACTTGTGGATGTGTAGCATCTCGCTGTAAATCCCTTATTTGCTGCGTAATTTTGAAACTGTGCCACTTGTCGTCGCATTGCCACGTGTAGAATAGCGTGAAAGGCAAGCGTGACTGCTTTTGCCGCTCTGGTTGAATACCCTCTCTTGTTTAAACACATTTTAATACAGTCCATACGTGAAGTTGGAATACTTCTGGGCTTCCATGCACCTGTTTGGTGTGTGGATGTACTAATAGATTCGAGCGCTTTGGTAGCTCTAGTGTTGGTTGTCCGATTTCTTGAAATAGAATGGGAAAAACCACGTTCTGGCTGGCCAGTAGGGGGCGACCAAAGTGAGTTGGAGGCTCTGTGTTTGTCTGATTTTCTGTAACACTTGAGGAATTATCGCTGGCGGCGGAAACGCGTATGCATTGAGGCCTTCCCAGGATATGCTTAGAATCCGTTGCCCATGCTTGTGGGTCCGGGACTGGTGATACTTAATGTCGGTAGCTGATTGTTGAAGCGAGTGGCGAATAGATCTACTAGCGGAGCTCCTATTTGCTTGATAATCTGTGCAAAAATTTCTGTATGGAGCATCCATTCTGTCGGTGACGGTAGATGTGGCCGAGAGAGTGCGTCTGCTAGTACATTCTTGGCTCCGGGAATGTGACATGCTCTGACATGTTAGTTGAGATCGTCGATTAGATCGAACAGTTGAAAGCTTAAAGTCAATAGGTTCAGTGATCTCGTTGAGCCTTGTTTGTTCACATAAAACGCCACTGTCGGTTGTCGGTATGAATCATCAGATGCGCATTTTGTAGAATGGTGCTCCAATGAAGTATGGCGTTGATTACCGCTTTCATCTCTAACATGTTTATATGGAGCTTGCTTTCTTGCTGATTCCATAACCCTGAAGCCGTCCGGTTGGCGAGATGAGCTCCCCAACCTTGGAGCGACGCGTCTACATATAGATGGGTTTTGAATTCCGGCTCTGCTAAACAAATACCTTCGCAGACATTCGACCTCCTGGTCCACCATAGTAGATGAGGGCTGAGGTGTTTCGGTAGACTGAATGGTTGTAGGTCGTCGAGATGTGCATTGATGAAGACCTGTAACGGCCGTAACTGTATTCTGCCTCTGACTGTCATGTCTTGGGCTGACGTGAGGAGACCCAACAGGCTCTGCCAATGTCGTAGTGGTAACGGAGAGAGTAGGGCTAGAGGAATGGTCTGTTGGATCTTGAGCCATCGGTCTTCTGGTACGACGATACGGTTGAGAGTCGTGATAAATCGAATGCCTAGAAATTGCAGATCTTGCGATGGTACTAGGTCCAACTTGAGTAAGTTTACTAACCATCCTAGCTGTGTTAGTAGCTTTATGATGTAGTTTAACTGTAGTTTGAGACGCTGTGGAACTTGATCTACTTGTATCCCGTCGTCGAGGTAGAACGCACTGCGTAGCCCTAGACGATGTAGATAGGTGACGATAGGTTTCGTTATCCTCGTGAATAGCCAGGGGGCTGATGATCTTCCGAATGGGAGTACTTTCCATTGGTAATGCAGCCCGTCTAGTGTAAATCGTAGGTATTTCCTGGATTCGGGATGTATCGGGATGTGTAGATATGCGTCTTGCAGATCTATACTGGCCATGTAATCCATGGGATCGAATCAACTGTCGTAACTGAGGTAGATGTATCAAGCGTTGGCGGTTTGCGTAGATAATCTCTGTTGAATATGCTCATGTTGTAAATGAGTCTGTATTTCTCCTTGGAGTTTTTCTTGGGTACTAGGAAAACTGGGGAGTAGAAGCCTGGTTCGACGTTTACTTGATCTAGTACTTCTATGGCCTGCTTGGTTAAAAGCGATGTAACAGACTCTCTTAACTTTGGTAGTTGTTGTGCCTGGAAGTCGAACTTGTGAGGGTTGACTGTCAGCGGAGGCGTGGCCTGTAGTGGGATACGATATCCGTGTTGAAGAATGTTGGAGACATAAGGGTCTTGTAACATTCCCCAGTTCTCCCAGTGTAGTTGAAGGCGTCCACCCACTTGTGACGGTTGTACTGGAACGGCTGGGGGTGGAAGACTCCAGTCGTTCCGAACCTGTCTTTCAACGTTTATAGTTGCGGGAACCTCTGGGTGCCCTGCCTCTTCCTGATCCTCCTCTGTAGTTGCCATATGGGCGACGAAAAGAATCTTTTCCCCTGGAGCTGGCCGTGCTCTCGGTAATCCAGTGAATTTAGATTTCCCTGAATATCTTTGTGAAGTCTGCCTGATGACGCTGGCTAGCGTGTCCATCGACTTAATCATAAGGACTTCTCTAGAATCCTTAGTGACTTCCTTGGAGACTTTCTCTATTCCTCCGTCAAAGATGGATGGGGAGGACCACGGGGCTGTATAGAGTGGAGCTGTAAAGTTCTCACCCCAGCTGCAGGAAGCGAGGAGGCCTTGACGACGAGCTAAGGTTAGCGCTGCTGAGACTGATGTGAGATGATCCGTTAGGAACTGCTGGTCCTTCTTTTGCATCAGTAGGGCCGAGTAGATCATCCTATCATCTTCAGAAGTCGCGTCACGAAATCTGGTGATAAGAGTCTCATTGATCGTTCTAGAAAAGAACGGCGTCTGCATCGTCCTCCTTCATCAGGTAAGTATGCGCCGAGTTACCACTCTTGGAAGGTGAAGAAAGGTCTAGGTTGTTTACCATCCAATATCGTATCTCAGCGTCTGAGAAAATGATGCCTCCATCATCTTCTACCCCAGGATCGCTGATGAGAGGTTGATGCTCTTCAGATGGTGGACTGTGTGCTTCTACCACTGTACCGGGTGACGTTAGGGGAGACCTGACTGTGGACTTCTGTGAAGACTTGTGTGGTGACCTGCGAGGAGATCGACGTGGTGATGTACGAGGAGATCGGTGCGGTGAACGGCGAGGTGATCGGCATGGAGAATGGCGAGGGGATCGTCTTGGTGAACGTCCTGACG